GACACAACAATCCACTTTTTCAGGGTCAAGAAGGTTCACAGATGTATTTTAGCCTCCCCTTGGTCACAACAATCATGTGATTTATCAGCGTCAGGAATTAAACTTAAGACGTGCCGTGTAAATACGGGCTTGAATTCGTCCCAACTATTGGACCTCCCCGTGGTAATTGTATCTAGAAATTTTTTTTTAACAAACGATATTATTCACACTAACCAGAGGGGTTGAGCTTAACCTCACAATGAGCTCACAATAATGTGGTTCAAATTCCCTTCTGACTAGAATCGAACTTAAGACCTCTCACTCACAAATGAAGAAGAATACTACTAGATCATAGTACTAAGTGACTATATCTAAACAATTAAGATGGTGAAATTTTGTAAACGTTTAACGGTAAGAACTCGTGTGACGAGTGGACGAAATTACAAGTGAGCATTTCATGTAATTTAACCTGAATACTTTAATCACTGCACATAATTAACAGTGGCCTTAATTGGTTTAGTGTTGAGGCTGACTTTCCTGTATTGGATTTGTTCCATGGATAAATCATAAAATGCTGACTAAATCTTCTTTCAATAAAAAAAATATAAGAATATAGACCAAAAACATATATCTAAATAAATAAATAAACTATTAAGTTATGTAATTTAATTTTAATAAATCATGCATGGCCGGCTGGGGTTGGAATTTTGGTGACGTATCTTTGTTCGAAATGGTTACTTGTTTGACCTTTTTGCCACCCCAAAAGTTTTGCTTTACTCCTTCGGGGGTTTCTTATGCACATCCGATAAACATCCAATGAATTCAGTTCTAAGGTAGCAATAACCTAATATAGTAAGAGATCAATAAGTCTAGTCAAAATCAAAGATTAGTTACAGTTTTAAAGGTGCTAAAGTTTTCTTAATTGAGAATAAACGATAGCGAGTTCTATTAATAATTGAAAAGTATAATAGTAGTAGGGTATCGTGGATAATATTCGGGAGAACTTCAAACCCAAACAACTTGTGATCGGAGAATAAGGAATGACTGCTGTAAGAAATGTTTATTCACTCAATACAATTACAATTCTAGACGAAATGTTGTTGATGTTGATGATTAGATTATTACTTAAGTGTTGATTAATGCGCTTATTTTATATTGGTGACACATCATATAAGGATGGTAATCCCTCTTAAGCCAGGAGAATCCTTGAGGAAATCAAGGAAATAATTTTGTTCCTTTTGGAATATGATTATTTGCGGTGCAAACTAATTCCTTGATTACAGAGATTCCCAGGATACTATCCTAATTGGAATACCATTAGGAGTTGATTACTTAAGGGATAAACAGGTCTTTCTTGACGGAACAGATCCCACCTTCCAATCTAAGAGATTCGGAATCTCCAATCCCAAGGTCCAATTGAGAACCCTGGCCTGATCTGAACCACTAGGTTTGGTGCCCCATAGCCACTTCGGCCACTACACGGTTATTTGGATCCAAAACAACATTTTTGGCCGAGGGTGATTATAGGCTCGACCCAATATATAGGACATTAGGTATCTTAGAATATTCTCAAGAAAGCCCAGCCCAATGAGGTTCAAACGAATCCTATAAGAACACAGCCTTATCTGAATAGAATGGTTGGCCGAGTCCTAGTATAACAAGGAGTCCTCAAAGGCCAATTATGATTCGAATAAGAAAAGATTCCAATAATCAAGAGTTGAATCTGGAGGATAATAGGGTTGAATTTAGAATCCTACATGAACTAGGGTTGGCTGAAACCTATTTGGGTTTGATCAAGGAATTATAGTCCGAATGAGACTCTACTTTGGCCATGCGGAACTGCTACTATAAATAGAGAGGGGAGGGCATCATTCAAGGCTCTTCAAATCAACACACAAATCTGCCTTGTGCAAATTCTCACTCTACACGAAACCTCTCAAGCACCTTGAGATCTTTTTATTTTACCTTTTTCCGCCAACACATCTTCAGTTTGGATAAACAATAGTGTGTTGGCAACCGACAACATCTTCAATTTGGATAAACAGCACTAGAGGTGTAGAATTAGCCGACCAAGGAGCACCTTCAGTTTGGATAAACAACATTGCTTTGAAACTGACTGGTTATCTATCTAAGTCTTGGTCAACAAGGAATCTTTGAGTCCTTATTAGAAGAGGTCATCTCATTAGCCTTCTTGGCGAAGTGTGATGTTACCAGGTTACATAACATTTGGCATATTGAAAGCCGAATTTGATATTTTATGATTGGATACTCACAAGTGCATTTCAGAGTTCAACATTTAGACGGCCAAACCATATGTACAATCAAAACACACATCTCTTTCGAGTACTTATGTCCCTATAGTCTGGTATTGATTCGACGCACTTATATTCTCACGAATATAATTATAGTCACTAAACCCGACGCCGACGATTCTTGAACTTCGCAAAACTAGCAGCTTTGTCTTTAGGCTCTAGAACTCGAAAGCTGAGACATGTTCCTTCCTCGGCGGTAGTGGCAAGATCAAAAGTCAGCAGCGCGCCAAATGCCACATCAACATTCATTCACTCCCCGGCTGAGCTCGGCCGACGAGTTGGCATGCCCTACATTCAACCGAATGACGTAATTAGCTTATTAGCTATTCGGACTGCGTCCCACATTGGATAGGTAGTTTTTAGGGTCAACAGCAGTCGAGGCCCAAAACTCATGGTCCCACAGCTTTTCGCATTGATCTTTTGTCTATACAAATTGGTTGGCGCTGTTGATATATCTAAACGAATGCCTTCTTAATTTCTTTCTAATTCTTTTGAAAGATTGACCACTATTCCAAATCCGGCCTTCAATGTTTTGTACGAGAAGGATCAGAACATAATAATCTAGATGAATTCAATTTTCTCCAATGACCTAATTTTTTCACCGTTGGTGTTTTTCTAGATGATTTCAATTTTTTTCAATGACCTAATTCTTTTCACCGTTGTTGTTCAATCTTCATACAAATTATGACTTAAATCTTTAAAAATGATTTCTTCAATTTCTTGGTCACATATTTACCCACCGCTCTTTTTTACAATTTGTGTAGAAAGGAAATTTCCTCAATTTCATATTATCATCAACAAATTAAGCAGTATTTTAATGCTCCAACTGCTACTGATGTGACGATTGATGATCCAAATTAGTTTGTCAATATAAGAATATTTTTTGAAGGTGAAGAATATGAATTTTTAGGGTTGAGTTAAATAAAAGAAGAATTTTGTGAATACTTGCGAGCAACTATTTTTGATCCATTAATTTTCTAGTTGAGTAATTATCTTCAATACGAGTTTAGTCCAAGTAGCATTATTTTTTTTTTCATATAAAACGATGTATTTTAGCAATATTTGTATCCTAAAAGAATATGTCACTTAACCGTACATAAGCTAATACAATAAAATATGTTTCTTGATTTGTTTAATTAGACTGACATATTTCACACTCGCATTGCAATTTCTGCTTTTGTGATCATTTCTTGTTTTTGTTCATTGATTTTTTTTTAATTTATTTGGGAGTAGCCATAATTTGGTCGTATTAGGAGTAGCCACAATTTAGTCGATGTGGTTTTAGTGTAAAACTGAAACTTATTTCGGTTCAGTTCGGAGCGGTTTTGGGGTAAGAACCGTAATGGATTATTATTTGATTTTTGTTTGGTTCGATTTCAAACAGTTTTGGTTTCGGCTTGTGCCTCACTTGTAGCAAGTCACTACTTCGGTTTTGGTTTCGGCTTGTGCCTCACTTGTAGCAAGTCACTACTTTGGTTTTGGTTTCATGCAATTCAACAAAAAAGTTTTGGTGTGTTTCTTTGTTTTTCTCTTAGCAGGTTTTGGCTCCGACTCTCCGCTTGTATTCTTTTATTTTCACTTTTCTTTATTTAATAAATTTGGAGATAGGGGAAGGTGGGGGGGGTCATTTTTTCAGGGAGTTAGCCATTTCTAATTGCTATGAAAGGGAAGGAAGTAGCCTACTTGTAGTTGATGACTAATCCTGGTGTATTGGTTCTTTCTTCCAACATTGTGTGGGTTTAGAGAGTAAGGTTTCTACTTTTGTAGTTTGACAGCCAAGTCTTACGCGTAGCTCGACTAGCCAAATCCATTATCATTTTTTCAAAAAAAAAAGTCGCTACTTTGAAATTTTGAATCATCCAACCCTTTTCCTCTCCCTTTTTTGGACACTTATTCTTTGAAGGTTTAGGAGGCCATTGAGCATGTGAACTGGCTTGAGAAGATATATGAGCTTGAGAATGCAATACTTGGATAGACCCTAGACATTGTGAAAGCGAAAGCAATTGATGAGAAGTCATGGAATATTGTGAACTAAAAGCTTGATATTGTTTTGGAGAAGTAGGAAAGGCGATGCTTGAATTTGAATTGGTCAACTCTACACAATACTAAAACATAAAAATATAACTTACATTAGTTGTTATAAACTTTAAAAAGTCTAAAATTATTTTGTTATATATGTTGTTCGGTTCGGTTTTAGATTATTAGTAATTGTTCGATGCAGTTCAGTTCGGTTTGAGTTTTGGTTTTGGTTTTTAGCTCAAGTGCCCATCCTAGAATTTCTCTCAATAGAAGAAAATAATATAAAAATAAAAATAAAAAGAGTTTAAAGGAAACACGGAAGTTCGAAATCGGAAAGCTTCTTATTATTTCTCGAAACAAAATAGTGTATTAGCTTTTAAAGAAAATGTTATTAGCACTCTTAAAATTTTATTTTACACTCTTAACAAATGTATTTTTCTTTCAAATTATAAAAAATATAAAATGTAAGGTAAAATTTTAAAATGCCAATAACAACTTCTGCTTTTAATGCAGTTAAAAAGACATGGAGAGAGATGTAGATGTGCCTTCCCCTTGGGGGAAGGTGGGTGGAGAAATTGGAGTGGAAGCAAGGAAACCCAGAAATACCAAAGCCGTGTGGGTCCCAAAAAAATATAACCAATCCCGAGCCCTGTACAAATTCTCTCTCTTTCCTCAAAAAGTCCCGATTCAAATCTTTTATCCCGAGCCTTATAAACCCTTCTTCCTCCTCTGCCTCTCCTCACAAAAGTCCTCTGTCCTAGCTCCCCTGCTTCTTCTTCTTCTTCTGCCACCCAAGAACTTCATATCCGCACGCAAACAATACACCCTACACTTTGTCGGCGCGGATATTCTTTACTTGCCGTCTCCTGCTCGCTCTCTTTGTTGATTTCAAGTTTCTGCATTCAGATAATTCAGATGGGTTCTTCAAGAATCTGCGCTTTCGGCATCCGATTCTGTTTTTTGTTCGATCGGATCAGCTATTGAAATCGAAACCCAGATTCCAAAAATTCAATCTTTTATTTTTTATTTGTTTTTTGTTTATTTTTTCCTTAGGCCAAAACTTTCATCTGGTACTTAAATTTTCATCTCTTCTGTTTTTCTGATTTGAATTCTCGAATCATCGGATTCGATTTCCCTTTTTCTTGCGTGACCCATCTCAATTTGTTTCTTGAATTTCCTATATTTGAGAGTTTCAAAGAGAAAGCGAGCAGGTAAAGCAAGCAAGCGAGCAACAATGTCTTCACCAAAAAAGAGTGGTAAGTCTAAGATGGAGACAAGCGGAGAATGGGAGGCGAACAAAGACAAGGAGGTTGATTTTTCCTTCGAGAGACCGCCATGGAAGCCCGGTTTTAGTGAGGCTTCAACGGCGTCGAATAGGCCTCTCAAGAAAGTCAAGAGCCCTGAAAGGCAAGACCCAATTCAAGCTTCACCTTCTTTAGATCATCATCAAACACCTTCGCCAATCATTGCTCCCCATCCATCTTCTTCCTCTTCAAAAATAGTTTTTCCTTTTTCTTTCGACGGGTCTCAACAGCCTATGATGCAATTCCCCCACCAGTTCAACCCCACAAATTTGCCTATGTTTCCCTCACCAATTCAACAGCAACTGCAACAAAATCCTCAGCAAATGATTTCTTTTGAATCCCAGCAGCAGCAGCAGCAGCAGCAGCAGCAGCAGCAGCAGCAGGGGATGAGTTATCCACCGCCTTTTGTCGGAGAGTCGGTGAGTTGGCAGCAGCACCAGAAAATGCTTCAGCATTGGAGTGACGCTTTAAATTTGAGTCCAAGAGGGAGGGTGATGATGAACAGGTTGGGACCAGATGGCAGGCCAATGTTTCGACCCCCGGCAATGCCTTACAATACTACAAAACTTTACAGGGGAGTGAGGCAACGGCATTGGGGCAAATGGGTAGCTGAAATCCGCCTTCCTCGAAACAGGACTCGCCTCTGGCTTGGCACCTTCGACACAGCTGAAGATGCCGCCATGGCTTACGACCGCGAGGCCTTCAAGTTGAGAGGAGAGAATGCCAGGCTCAATTTCCCTGAGCTTTTTCTCAACAAAGACAAATCAGATGTTTCAGTTTCATCAGCTCCGAGTTCAGCTGCTACTTCGCCTCCAAGGCATGAGGGTTCAAAACCAACCAGGAACCGCAAGCAACCTCAAAAAATCAAGAGCAGCGCTTCGAATATAGAGGCAATGCCACCGCCACCAATTCCACATACCCAAGAAGAGAATAGTACTGACAATTATTCAGGACTGGAGTCGAACGAGGCTAAAGCGATTGACGAAGTTGAGGTGAATATCGATGGTGCTGGAGGAGGGAGTTCACAGCAAAAGGAAATTGTTTGGGGGGATATGGCAGAAGATTGGCTTAATGCAATTCCTGCAGGTTGGGGTCCAGGTAGTCCTGTGTGGGATGATTTGGACAACAATCTTTTGCTGCAATCACATCTCCCTTTTACCAATCCAAACCAGCAGGACTATAACATTAACATTAATCCTCAACAAGCGATTCAGAATTCAGGTTCGGGTTCGGGATCTGGTTCCTCTTCTTCCTCTTCACATCCCACGAAGAACCTCTTTTGGAAGGACCAGGATTGAAAAGTTCATTTATTTTAAATTTGAGCTTTGCACTTCACACTCACACGGTCACTCCTCTAGGTTGTAGAACTAGTTTTAGCCCATTTCGCTCATCATTTCTCACTCGTTCCATTTTTCCGGAACCCTGTCAGAAATTGCATTTCAAACTCCTCCCTTATGCATCTTAGACATCAGTTTAGTCGTCATCCCCCCTCCTACTTTGTCATCACAGCTGGTTGCCGATTTTCAAAAAGCAACCTATGATCCTAGAAGCCTTGTGACTTTTTATTACAAGGGATCTTTGAAGCTTTAAGTTTCGTACCAATCTGCTGCACAAAGGCTGCTTTTTTGTCTTCTTTTTTCAGGCCTTTCAGCAGTGGTGGCAATCTGGTTCATGCTTTTTTTTGGGCCATGCCTTAGTTTTTGTTGCTAGAGAGTAGAACTATAGTCAATCATCTTGTAAAGTAAATAATATAGTATGCGTAGGTAGGAAGGGTCACCGCTGTGTATTGTTCACGAGCATGTTTTTAGTTTTTATTTTGGGTGTGTCGATGTAGTAGATTAGTAAAGGCTGGACCGCAGTAGAGAGAGACGGTTTTGTGATCTCCTTCTCTATCGGTCCGACCATCACGAGCTCTCGTCTTTCAGCTCCTGGGATGGAAAAGCCAAATTATATATAGGATTTGTACGTTTTGGATGTGATTATCCTTTGTCATATTATGTATTTGTAGCTGTACTTATACAAAGACTACTCCTCTCTTTTATGCATTATTATCGTGTGTGAGCCTTCAGTTTCTACTGCTTCTCTTGATTTATCTTGTTCTTTCTCATTTTATTGCCATTGAGAATGCATGTGTGTGCAGGCTTCAAATATAATTGTGTGGATGAGTGGTGGTAATCTTTTAACTTGACAATGTCAACACACTAGAAATATTAGTTTAAAATTCAAAGTGGAGTTTCCTCAACAAAATATAAATAAACCAAATTTTTAAAAATAAAAAAAAAAGGCATTCAAACTATAGTGAATTAAGACTATGAATGATAGGTTTGTATGGTAAATATGACAGCTGATGAAGTGCTATTAAATGATTGAAAGTATTTTTAGAAAAAAATATATTTTTGAATTCCAAAAATATTTAAAGTACTTTTTATAAGAAGTACCAGCTTTTTCCAATTAACAATTGGGTAAGACATTGTGGCACTAGCTTGCATCTCCCTTTTTCTACCCAAAACAAGCGGCTACTTTTGGATTTTCTCCTCCATTTCAAAATCATTTCACCCAAATTCATCACTTTAGTCATATTTCTTCATCCAACTTCCCTCCTCAATTACGTGACGCCACATCGCTAAGACCCACCCACCTACCAACAAGGAAACTAAGGTAAGAACTAGGAACACCTCATTAAGCTTATATACCTCACAAGCCTAAGTTAAAATTCTAAATCCGCCACTGTTAATGACACAACTAGCAAGGATCTGCCCCAAAATTTCCTTAAAACTCCTCCCTTGCGATGAATGTGACCAATTCTTCCTTTCAAAAAAGAATATGGCCTACTCTTTACCAGCACCGTTTTTCGGTTATATTGCATAATTGCAGATGCACTTGATATTTTGGGAATTCGTCTAACATTTGACCTTTAAGCACTATGAACAAAAGGACCTCGTCAGCACCCGCACCTGCACGACGGTCGTCCAATCACCTACCTAATTTATTTCGAATACATTTGTAACTTTCAGCTTTTAGGTATCAAATTTTTTTAATATGTTTTAGAATATCTTTACGTATTGGGATTTTTAGTAGTTGAATCTTCTCATTGGATCCTTATCCAATATTGGAGGACAAAATGTATAAGATATCTCATAACATTTCATTGACTTTTTATTAATTCAAAATTTGAATGAGATAAATTGAATTGAGGAATAGTTGAAATGAGAAAGAGTGAGAATCAATTTCTTATTAAAGTTGTTTACTAAAGCGCGATAATGAATGACGTTAATTTTATATAAGTTATTTATTATTATTATTATTATTATTAGTTAACAAACGGTATTATTTATACTAAAAAAAATGAGAGAGTGAGATAAGCTTTACAATGAGCTTGACACGCTAATGTGGTTCAACTTCGCATTTGATGAGATTCGAAACTAAAACCTCTCACTTACAAATAAAAAAAAAATCTTTAAACCGTAGTGTTAATGACTAATGATTAACTTGAATGAGAACGAAAATAATACAATTGATAAAAATATTAGAGAAATTCCATAAATAAATAAAAAATGTTAGAAAACGAAGAGCACTTTCGACATTAATTGTTTTGATCTTTTGAGAGGAGTGACTGAGTGAATGATGGTGGGAGGTGGGGCCGGTCGTCGCCGTCCCATGAGATGAATCCAAATTTCTTACTTGTGACGGCAAGATAACGATCAAGTAGTGACAGAAAACATGATTTAATTACAAATCATATGGCTATTTCCCTATTTAAATCAATGAAAGTTACCCTTAAATTAATATGAAAAAATCAAAATTTCTGAAATAGTGGTGAGAGTGAGCCAGAGCCAGCCATTGTTTGAGGAATTGGATCCTCTCCGGATCCATCAAAATTAAGCCCACTAATCAATGAATTCGAACCGTTGAAATTTGATCCAATGGTTACAATTATTATAACTTTAGGGTGAGGATTTTCCTATTTGTATCTGTTGGATCAAATTTCAACGATCCAAATTCATTGATTAGTGGACTTAATTTTAAAGAATACGAAAGGGATCCGGTTCCATTGTTTGATAAACAAACCGTTTCATTCAACCATAATCTAAATATTTTAATTTAATTATGTCACAGGGACTGCTTCAAGATAATGATGATTATGTTGCCCATGAGTGTGTAGCTTACACATGTCTTTGAAACTTTTTTATTCCAAAATTATGTACTTCTCCAAATGTTTGTGGAAGATCGACAATGACAGAGAACTAAATTAAGATTTAGAAAACCTTTTGAAAACAAAAATAAGAGTTGACACTTTAAAAATTTCTTCATGCTTTTCTCACAAGTGTATTCCTTTTTAGCTAAATAAAATATGTTTCAAGCGCCAATAATAAGTTTCTTACACCGTGTCTCTTCCAGTTCGTCCCAAAAAAAAACTCTACAACTTTTTCTCCTCCAGTTGTCGGCCCCTTGCTATGGCTTCGGGTCAGTGGTAGACCCCTTTTCTACGTTTTTTCTTTCTTTCTCTTTCATGCTTGCCTTATCCAGGCCTCCCCCTTCCCGAACCAAGATTCTCTCCTGAGCATTTCCCTAGGGATCCCGCAATCTTGTCCGTTTATCGTGTATCGTGCGGTCATAAATCATTTAAAATTTAAATTTTAAAATTCAAATATGAATAGTACCTAACGAAAACTGACCGCACGATATAAAATGAACGGACAAGATTACGGGATCCCTAAGATCCCTAGGGAAATGCTCAGGAGAGAATCCTGATTCCCCCTTCCCCATCTCTTCACCTTATGTTTTGGAGCAACCCTCCATAGTTTAATAGAGCTCCATCCCAAGTAGGGATGGAGAACGGTTATGACGGGCGGGTAGCCGCAGTTATTTATCTATAATCGTTTATTCTCATACCCGCATAACCGTTTACCGGTTGGATAATTGTCTAAACTGTGAAATCTCGTTCCTGGATTTCATTGTTATAATCTACGTATTTGTACTATTGAGATTTTATATTATTTCTCGAGAATTTATTTTAAATTGTTTGGATTTAGATTTTAATTAAACTAGTTACGAAAAGTGAATTTTAGAAAATAATTATTTAAAATTCGTTGACCTTTGAGGTCACAAGTAACGTTTTCGAATAGGTCTCAAAGCCACGAGAGCATAGGCGAAAGTCGTTTATGAGTCCGAGTTATAACGGTATAGTTACAGACGTTTGAAGTTGTGATACTATAGATTTTAAAAATTATTTAGACTCCCACTTTGTGGGAAAGAGAACCAATCAGATTAGTGGACTTAATTTTAAAGAATTCGAAAGGGATCCGGTTCCATTGTTTGATAAACAAACCGTTTCATTCAACCATAATCTAAATATTTTAATTTAATTATGTCACAGGGACTGCTTCAAGATAATGATGATTATGTTGCCCATGAGTGTGTAGCTTACACATGTCTTTGAAACTTTTTTATTCCAAAATTATGTACTCCTCCAAATGTTTGTGGAAGATCGACAATGACAGAGAACTAAATTAAGATTTAGAAAACCTTTTGAAAACAAAAATAAGAGTTGACACTATAAAAATTTCTTCATGCTTTTCTCACAAGTGTATTCATTTTTAGCTAAATAAAATATGTTTCAAGCGCCAATAATAAGTTTCTTACACCGTGTCTCTTCCAGTTTATCCCAAAAAAAAATCTCTACAACTTTTTCTCCTCCAGTTGTCAGCCCCTTGCTATGGCTTCGGGTCAGTGGTAGACCCCTTTTCTACGTTTTTTTTTTCTTTCTCTTTCATGCCTGCCTTATCCAGGCCTCCCCCTTCCCCATATCTTCACCTTATGTTTTGGAGCAACCCTCCATAGTTTAATAGAGCTCCATCCCAAGTAGGGATGGAGAACGGTTATGACGGGCGGGTAGCCGCAATTATTTATCTATAATCGTTTATTCTCATACCCGCATAATCGTTTACCGGTTGGATAATTGTCTAAACTGTGAAATCTCGTTTCCGGATTTCACTGTTATAATCTACGTATTTGTACTATTGAGATTTTATATTATTTCTCGAGAATTTATTTTAAATTGTTTGGATTTAGATTTTAATTAAACTAGTTACGAAGAGTGAATTTTAGAAAATAATTATTTAAAATTCGTTGACCTTTGAGGTCACAAGTAACATTTTCGAATAGGTCTCGAAGCCACGAGAGCATAGGCGAAAGTCGTTTACGAGTCCGAGTTATAACGGTATAGTTACAGGCGTTTGAAGTTGTGATACTATAGATTTTAAAAATTATTTAGACTCCCACTTTGTGGGAAAGAGAACCAATCATATTTTTAAAAGGTTAGGAGCTGCCCAATCAGGATGAGGGGAAGGAGGGGAAAGGAGGGACCCGAAATGGGTCATTTTTTGACCCGCGAACCACCATTTTTGACCCGGCCATATCTCCTTCATACGAACTCCGTTTTGGGTGATCTTGGTGTCCATGGAAAGCCCTTGATGAGCCCTACATCCTTGTAGTGTTAGATTTCCCAATTTCTTTCCCATTTTTCTAGTTCGAAGCCACAAACCCACGGGTGTTCCGGCGGCTTTATCCCTTTTCCCGGTGGCTCAGGCAAGTTTCACCATCCATGACCACCACCAAAAGACTTCCCTCAACCCCAGGAACAAATCCCAAGCAGTGTTGGAGGCGTCGGAGTTCGATTGGAAGCCGAATCAAAGCACACCCTTTTCTAGGGTTTCGGCGGGTTTAAGTGAAATTGAGGTGTTTTCCGGCCAAATTGGACTTGGCCACAGGTATAAAGTTTGTTTTGCTCTTTGAGATATTCATTTCTGTAATTTTTGGTAATTTTTAAAAGTCGTTGAATTTTCCGGCAAGTTGGAGTGGCCAACCATCACCCGCGGCAGCGAGTGCGGCTGTGGCCTGGCCAGTGCGCCGACGATGTCCTTTTAAGTTCAATTAGATGCCCTGATTTGATAATTGATATCCTTTTGATATGGTTTGATTGTTTGAACTTAATTCCATTACGATACGTGGTTAGGTCAAAATATGATTCGACAATCCGACCGTTGGATCGTCATCAAACC